AAACTTAGTTCATATTATTATAACAATAAGATTGTTTTCAGTTTGCAAATTCCACTGATAACACCTGATAAATTCACTGTTTATAAAAATATCCCATTACCGACTCCTCACGACGAGTCACATAATATGCAAACTTTTGCACTTATTCAACCTTCTAATTCTTATATTGCTTTAAGTGACGATAGAATACATTATACTATGTTTAATAACTTAGATGATTGTAATTTCATTAATAATAACTACTCTATTTGTGAACTATCAACTATAACGTCTAGTGTAAGTAATCCAAATTGCGAATCGAAACTACTAACAGAAGTAACTCTTACCTTACCTTCTGATTGTAACGCTAAGTTATTATTTGGCCAAATCAATATTTGGCATAAATTAAAAAATAATAGATGGATTTATGTACAATCTAATGTAAATAAATTAACTATCAAATGTGATGACGACATTACTGATCATTCTATTATTGGTACAGGTATTGTCAAATTAACCGAAAATTGTATCGGTTATTCCAAAACTATTCAATTATTGCCAACTAATACTTACCAATTTTCGATCAAATCAACCATAGATATAAGTTTTGATATAACGAAAGATGATTGTTGCAAAAAGGACATATTTAATAAAAGTTTACCACATTTAACGCCAATCTCATTAAGCAAAGTTAACTTGGATTCTCTAAAATATGCAAATCATCAACTGGATAATTTAGAATTTGAATTAAATAATCTTCAAAAAGAATCACATTTTATTAAATATGGCTCATACTATTCAACATTTACTTATGTTTTAATTGTACTACTATTTTTATACCTTGCCTATAAATTATTTAAATGCTGCAGAAATCGTCACGATAACAGTGGATATTGTATACAAATATTTAATCAATGTAATAACAAAAAGTCATCGAAACATAATTCTAAAATTTCAAATTCAATTGAGATGACCGATAAATCGACATCTGAAGAAGATAATATCTCGCTAAAATCTTTAGCAAATTGTACTAATTATAAACCTTATAAAACTGTACACAAGGTTCATTCTTCCTCTCGAAGAAATCTTAATTTCTAATTTTATTCAATTTTAGTTTTAAGATTTTTGTGTTAATACAAATAATCGATTTTATTATTATATAATTTTAATTTCTACTCTGTCATTTTATATTTTGTAATTGCTATATTTTTCTATTTTAAATGCAATCTATGTTAATTTCTAATTTTACGATTTCATTCAAAATACTTTTAATTTTAGATTTAAATAATTCATTTTTGTATAATTTTATTCTTTAATTTTAAATTGATTATTTTTGAATTTTACTCTGTCTCTTTTGTATAACCTAGATAACGAATAATACTATTGTATCTTTATGTAAAATTTAGTTCGAAAGTTTTTATATTGTTATGAGATTAATTAGCAATATTTTACTACAATTTTTAATTTCCCATTTTCATAATTTGTAATGTCTTCCGACCTCTAATCGCTTTTCTATCTCGAATCTTCGCTTTATCTTAATTTAGAAAAAGCTCCGTCAAAAGGGGGGAGCTGTTATATCCCTTTTTACAAGGCAACAAAATATTAGTAAGCATTTATTTAATCACACGGTACTTTTCCTCAATTTAGCTATAGTCAGCAATTATATTGTTATATTGTTTCTTTCCATGTTCGTTTTAATTCCATTTTTAATGATCAGTTAGACTCAGAGCCCCGGGTAGATCGGACATATATTCCGAGACTTATTAGAGTTCGGAAGTCAAGGACTATATTAATTTGGTGTGTGAACTTTTTGCAATAAACCTTTAGGTTTATTTGGTGTGTTTTTTTTTTAAAAACTCAAACGGGATCGGCCTCCTAACAGTTCGAAACGTCGGGTATTTAAAAAGTTAAATATACGCGATAAATTCCGTAAAAACTAGTATTATTTCAATGTGTAGTGTTCGCGTAAATATAAGAAATCATTTTACAATTTAATTAAAGTTAATTTTATTTAATCCCAGAAAATGTTCAAAGTCTATGACCTTCCTTCACAAGTCCACTGCTGAACATAGGCCTTCCCCAAGGTATGCCATTAAGCACGGTCCTGAGCCACCTGCATCCATCGACTTCCTGCATGTCTTATCAGGTCGTCACTCCATCTAGTGGGGGGTCGCCCTACACTTCGCCTACCGGTACGAGGCTACCACTCGCGAACCTTTTTTCCCCAACGGTCGTCGGTTCTTCCAGCTGTATACTTCAGCTTACTAATCCGTTGGGCTATTTCGCTCACTCCGGTTCTACTGCGGATATCCTCATTTCTAAGTTAAATTTTTTAAGTAATACATGAACGAAAATAACCCCCGGGAATGATTTGATCAATTGTATACGTATAAAAATAGTATAAAATTTATATAATTTTGTAAAAAAAATATAATCCCGCCGGGACTCTTGCTGGTTCTTACCAGAACAGAGGCAATTCCCGAAAAAATGGTAAATAGAAAATGACTTTCAATAAGTTTCACGTACCTAATGATCGACATGGAATAAAATGTTCTATTATATACATACTCGTACGTACATTAAGTAGATAAATAAAAATCGATTCTACCTAGGGAGGTATTTAGATTTAAGTTAATGCAATACCATTTATTTTATAAATTTTTCGTTTTTCCGAGCATATCGAATAGTTTTTCAGATAAAATGTCACTTCTGGCACTTCATCAATCACTTCTGGCATTGCTATCTATCCGTTTGTGAAGGTTTATCAAAATCGGTTCAGTTCCAAAGATAAATCCAGAGAAACAAAAATTAATAGAATCATACTTTCTCCATCAATCCATTATATATATAAATATATTAAGAGTAACTTTGCAACCATCCGCACAATAAAATAAAATGATCTGTCTTACCTAGTTTGAAGAGCACCTCCCGCCCTCCCTCAATTGCGTGCACTAATCCCGTCACTACTAATCCCAGCGCCTCTACTCCCAATACCACTACTCTAGAAAAGTCACACCATCGAAGATAATAGCGTCGACGATAATAATTGGTGGACAAAAAATTTCAAAAATTGTTATTCCATGTGTCGACAACATCCTTAAGCTTAATAGTAGCAGTTATTTCGATATTAAGGATAGAAACTTCAATTGTATTTATCTGCTTACAAACAAACTAATTTACGCCAATCGATGCGGACAGGTAACAGTTAGTTTTAAGTAAGAGAAGAGACGCGGCTACATGTCCCTTAATGTCCTTACATGTCTAAAGAAATTTATTGCTAATCCTGTTATAGTAGCGGTTCATTATGACTACGTTGAATTGCCACAATAGCTATTTAATATACAGGACACGTTTTCCATTAAACAGAGCTTGGCGCTAATAAATCGATGAGTTTTTTTTTAGAACAATTGCTGACTGAAGTGCAACCTTTGTCCTGGAAAAAGTTTAATTTAAAGTAAAATAGGCTTTCGTACAAGTGGCATAAGGTTCGTTTTATTTTAGTCTGTATTTTGCTTGACCCGGTGATATTTTGGCGCCCTATTTTAAGCGTATCAATAATTGCCCGAATTTTCTCTAAGCCACAAAAAGAGGCTTACTGACGTAAAATTGAGGTTTTATTATTTGTGGATTTATCGATAAGAGAAAGTTTTATTAATTATACGAAATGTGCGCAATAAGGTCGTGGTAGATCAGGGGTTAAGCTGTCGCTGTAAATTTCACAGTATACGAGCAATATCCATGGTTCGATACTCGTCGGCACCAATAAAAATGATTTACCACGTGCTGGGTGCTGAAGTAAAACATCGTGAAGTAACCTAAAAGTCTTAAAAATAAGAAAAATTTTTTTCGAAGACACGTGAACTTCGCCAACACGCATCGAGGTAACGCGGCGTACATTTCCTTGCCCTAAAACCCTCTCAGAAATGAGAAGAGGCCTGTGCCCAGTAGTGGGACGTATAAAGGCTGTATCTGTAACTCTAACTGTGGGCAATAATCATGGCTTGTACGACCATACGTGGCGTTGTGTCGGCGTAAACTTCATAACACCACCTGCATATGGTTGTCATAAAATATAAAGTATAGAAAAGTGAAGAACGAATGGCAAAAAATATTTTTTTAATCTTTACCGTTAACGTTAGAGTTACATCCTATCAAGGTCCACTACTAAATATAGGTGTCCCCCATAAATTGCTTCTTAGTTCATAGGGGGGAGGGGGGGCGTTAGTTGCTATAGTTGCCACGCTTGGCCAGCGGGCAACGGCGATTTTTTTTGTTGTTATTAGAAATACGCTGTTACCCATCGCCTGGTTTGTTGCCACTTGCAATACCTTCAGTAGAGTGGGACAGAGTAAAAAATTTAACCGTACGTAGTATAGGTACATTAGGGTGGAGGAGTTAACTCAATATGAATGCTATACTAGTTCTAGAGGGTTAACAAAAAAATGCGATAAGCGTGTACGAAAAATTAAACTTGTGAAAGCCGACTTCAAGGAAATAATAATAATAAATATAATAAAGGCGTAAGGGAAGTGACGATCCCATCGCCCGCTGACGTAACAGTTATGTGACAAAACTGTTACGTCGGCGCAGTCAGTCAGCGCCCTGCCAAGAGGTGTGAGCGCCGTGCCTAGGCAAAATTGTGGGTGCAAAGGTCCGTTTGTGCATATGACCGAACCACGAAACGGTGCCGGTCTTGGGCGTCTCCCGTTATTTGGCGCCCATAAATGGATGAACGCGCATAGGGCCGATTCCTGGGGGTCGCCGGGGCGCGTCTGGAGCTGGCGCTGGACGCGGCAGCAAGAGGGCCGCCAGTCGAGCGCGAGGAGCCATCTATCAGCCCTCCGCATCCATCATCCCCACCAGAAGGCCTGGTGTCGGCTGGATCTTCTCGGACTCAGCAAGCGGCACCCGAGAAGATCCACCGTCGCATGCGTTGGTTACAAACAATGAACGCAAACGCACTGCGAGCGTACTTTAGGGCAAAAGGGGAAGAAACTGGATGTTTGGCGTATCGGGCTAGGATGCATTGTCTTTTTGCTGAGCTGGAGCCATCTTTAACGGTCACAGAGCAAAACCTGGCAGACCGAGTTCGGTATATCTTGCGTTCAAATATATTTGATGTCGCCGAACTCGAACGGCTACGACGTGAGACTGTTCCCTCATCGGATGAAAATGCTCAGGCTGAGGACGCGGCGCCACATATTGTAGAGCAACCCGCAAACGTGGATGCCGCCGTGAATATCCCAGTTGTGGTTGATTCAAACGATGATGGAGCAGTCGCCCAGGAACTGGAATTAGAGCATATGATGAGTACATTGGAAGAGGCGATTGTGGAAACGCGCAGTACGACTCTCGAAAATCGACCGCGACTTCCCTGCATAGCCCTAAGCAAGCGGAATCGGGCTGTCGTGAGGGCTCTGAACCCAATGCTGGTGACCTATTTGAAAGCCAGCCGGGACCTTTGCGAGACGAACTCAATTCTTTTTGGCGTCGCACTGGCAGTATGCCGTATTATAGGCGCCAAACTTTCCACGGCTGGACGTGCTACTGAACAAAGTTGAGCTATCCCAGCCTGGAGAATAAGAATTGAGGAACGTATCGCAAAGGCTAGGGCCCTCATCGGCAGACTGATATTGAAGCATATCAGTGCAACAACAACAACAACAACAATCCTTAGGCTATTATTGCTTTGGTCAGGCAATAATAGCCTAAGGATTGTGCGCACCGTCAGGATGGCATTTGGGGACAAATGTTAGTTTGTCCCAGCCGGATATAATGCAAAAACTGACGGAGCGCATAGACGACCTGAAGCAGAGAATCGCTGCTTGGGGAAAGCGGATTTGGCGATATACCAAGAGGTCGACACGGTTCAACCAGAATCGTCTCTTCCAGAGTGATCAGAAGAGGCTCTATATATCATTGGAGCGACCAATAGTAAGTGGAACGGGCCCAGCACCGAATCAGGCCGAAACTGTCGTATTCTGGTGCGGCCTGTGGTCAGAGCCCGTAAACAACAGCGAGAGCCCTTGGACGGAAGTTGTGGCGAGTGGGTGTGCGAGTATTATGCCTATGGACCCCGTCATCATAACGCCGGATGATGTAGCTGAGGCGGTTCGTAGATCCCCGAACTGGAAAAGTCTGGGACTCGACGGGCTGCATCACTACTGGCTGAAGGGCTTCATGGTGTGTTACGCTGTGCTCGCCCGTCAGTTTCAAGAGGCTCTCAACCAGAAGTCACTACCTAGCCTCTTAACTACTGGTATCACTCATTTGGTTCCTAAAGACCAGGTTACCACAGACCCGAGCAAATACCGCCCCATCACGTGTCTACCGACCATATACAAGACACTAACATTCATTTTGAGCACGAGAATCACTCGTCACCTGGACTCAAATCAGGTGATGCCGCGTGCTCAAAATGGATGTCGGGCCGGTGGTCGTGGAACCAAGGAACCACTTCTCATTGACGCGGTCATTGGCAAAGTGGTGAAACGCAACCGTCGGAACTTCTCCGCCGCCTGGATAGACTACAGAAAGGCATTCGACTAGGTTCCTCATACATGTCTAAAGAGGGTCCTCGAGCTGTACAAGATTGACTGTACAGTTAGAGTTAGAGATACTTCCTCGAGCAATGTATGGGGCAGTGGAGTACGATCATTTGTCATCTGTGTGAGCGGATGACGGCTGCGGAAAGCCGCATAAGGATAAGAAGGGGTATCTTCCAGGGCGATTGTCTGAGTCCAATCTGGTTCTGCCTCTCTTTGAACCCTCTCAGTACATTACTGGAGAGCTCCGGGAGGAGATTTCAGCTTCGAAGAGGAGGTACAAAAGTGACCCACCTTTTCTATATGGATGACCTCAAGTTATTCACCTCCAGTCGCTCCCATCTTATGGAATTGCTAAATATCACTTGTGAATTTAGCAGTTCTATTGGGATGGGGCTGCGAACGGATAAGTCTGCGGTCCTCCATGTTGAAAGGCGAAAGGTTGCTAACTCTGAGGGCATAGACTTATCTATGCCCGTCAACTTGAGGACCCTTTCCGAGGCTGAAACATACCGATACCTGGGTATATCACAGAACATCTGTATCGATGAGGCTGGTATGAAACAGTCTGTTTGCGACGTGTTTTATGCACGCTCGACCAAAGTGCTAAATAGCCTTTTGTCCGGTGTGAATAAGACACAAGCATATAACGGTTGGGTCATGCCTGCACTCATGTATACCTTTGGCATACTTAGATGGACTCAGACGGAACTTAACGCCCTGGATAGAAAAGTCCGCACTACTATGACGTCCCATAGGATGCATCACCCGAGATCTTCGATTATAAGGCTGTACTTGCCGCGGAAATATGGTGGGCGTGGCTTATTAAGCGCGCTTACGATGCATAATCGCGAAGTGTGCAGCCTCCGTAATTACTTTCTGACGAGATCGGATGATCCATTCTATAGGGATGTCATTTGTTGTGATAAAGGGCTTACTCCACTATCCTTGGCCAACGAGCAATGGTAAGAACCGGCAGTACGGAGCATTTCCGACCGGGAGACTGTATGGAAGGAGAAGGAGCTCCACGGGAGGTTCTACAAGGCTCTACATGAACCTTTCGTAGACACAGTCGCCTCCCTCAACTGGCTACATTTCGGTGACCTCTTCGGGGAAACCGAGGGTTTTATCTGCGCGATACAGGATCAGGTTATTAAGACCAACAACTATCGGAGATACATCCTAAAGGATGGCACCGTCGATATCTGTCGAGCTTGTCGCCATCCCGGTGAGTCACTTAGACATGTCATCTCCGGTTGTTCGGCGCTTTCTAGCTCTGAGTACTTGCACAGGCACAACCTAGTAGCCAGAATTCTACACCAGGAGCTCACTCTGAAATACGGTCTCGTGGACCGGAAACTGCCGTATTACAAGTACTTGCCGGAAGTTGTGCTTGAAAATGACCGTGCCAGGCTCTACTGGGACCGGACCCTCATCACAGACAGGACTTTTCTTGCGAATAATCCTGATATTGTGCTGATGGACCGGGCACAGCCAAGGATAATTTTGGTCGACATTACCATTCCGTATGACGAGAACCTCGTGAAAGCCGAAACAGATAAGCGAACAAAATATCTGGACCTGGCTCACGAGGTGACCGACCTGAAGTCGTTTCTGCAAACGGGCTGATCCCATTCAGCCTCTCGGGTCATCTGAGGCGACTGGGACTCCGTGACGGACTGCTCCGGGCTCAATGCAGAAGGCGGTGCTCCTCGATACTGCACGCATTGTCCGCCGTTTTCTTACCCTTTCCCCCTAACCCTCGGCCGTTTGGTCTCCCCTGCCGAGGGCTTCCATCTGGTTGGGCTTTTATTTACTTATGTATTTTTATGAAGGACCCCTTTCAATATGGAGGACCGCACACTTATCCGTTCCCAGCTCCATCCCAATAGAACTGCTAAATTCACAAGTAATATTTAGCAATTCCATAAGATAGGAGCGACTGGAGGCGAATAACTTGAGGTCGCATCTGAGCAAATTACCATGTGAGCAAATTACTCGAAGAGGGGAAGGTCAAAAGTACTCGGATACCTAGACTAGATCGTGACACTTGGCGATCTGTTCTCTCTGGCTACCCCGTTAGGGATTGTGCGTGTAGATAAGTATATATATATATATATATATATATATATATATAAATAGTATATATATATATATATAAATTAATTGAATGAAAACCAGAAAAAATTAGAGAGCAGCTGCCAAGAATTGTAGCATTCGAATATTGCGAATGCAATTTCGTAAAGTAAACCACTTAAATTTCCCATTGCAGTACTTTGCCTCTCATCTTTGAAAGGGTAATGAAAATAATGAGTCACAGAATTCTCGAAATATGGAATGTTTTTAGAATTTCTTTTACACTCAAAACTTTTTTTGTATATAAGAAACCAGTACACCACCCCAAGATAAATTGAGGCTGTAACCTGTGATCCATAAATAAAGGCCACATCTATTGAAGATATTTTAACTCCGCTATTTTTCGACTTAAATTATTAACTTCCCAGTGGGAAGTTATAGTAATGGATCCGATTTTGCAAATTGGAAATTTTAATATACCTCTACGTTTCAAGGTCTTTAGAGTCGAATAGTATGGTTTTTAAGAGGATGTATTATCTCGAGAACAAAGAGTGATATCGACATGGGACCAGTTTCATTTAACGTATAATTATGTAACTTAGACCTCATAAAATTTTGAGCAAAATCGGTAAAGTCGCTTTTTTGGGCCGAATGAAATTTTTTATAAAATAATAAAACATATGATATTTTTTACTTTTTCCACTGGGAAGTTAGTCGTGTGGACCTTTCGGATCACACCTAGACCACTTTTATTTATTTGTCGAAAGTCTTGTAAAATTTCTGTTTTAATTTAAAATTCTTCAGTATTTTATGTAGATTATGGAGATACGAGTATATACAACAACGAGTATATCAACGTCTATTCCATTCGCATGGAAAGAAAATTCACCTCCCATATGCTCTGTGACAATAATTGATGTTTGCAGTGCTGTTTTTGTATTTAAATTTTACGACACGGATGAGTCCGACCCGACCTATCCGTGTCTCAGCTATAATACTTCTGCAGCCGGTCTCTGCCACGTAAGAAGCATAAAACGGTTCAGTTTAACAATGTTGATTTGTCATCCGCGGTTTTTACATCAAAATATATTTATTTATATATTTAAAAAGGTTTACCTAAAAGTGTTACAAACTATTGTATAAAATTAAGAGTATAATTGTATATCGTATTCTACATGCACAATTACTTCCAAACTTCGTCAAGCCATAATGTAAAAATAATAATTTAGATTAAAACAACTACTGAATTTGTTATGTGTAGTAACTATATGAAAAATTATTTTACTTAGTTTGGAATTTTATGTGGAAGAGGCGAGAGAGGTATGTCAGGATCGTGCTAAATGGAATTCTGTAGTCTCTGCCTACCCCTCTGGGTGATAGGCGTGAGTGTTTATGTTTATATTTATGGAATTCTACCTAAGAAGTACTTGCAGAACTTTTACGTAGAAACAAAATGTATATCAGACAGACTACTGACCTCATTATAAAGTTTACGTAACCTAAAAGTATAATATGAGACAATATTAATATGTTAAATATTGTCTCATGTTATACTTTAATAGACCTGTTGATAAACGTTAAGGATATAGGATATGCCTAAGAATTAGATCAACGATGCCATGCTGCATCTAAAGGAATTTGTAATAAATTGAAGTGTAAAAAATTAAAAACAAATGAACAGGCGTTACATGTATTTTTACATCAGTGGCAAACTATTCAGCCTTTATATATCCCACTACTGGGTACAGGCCTCCACTCATTTAAGAGAGGGTTTACAGAGCTAAGAAGTATCCCCTGCGCTGCATTGCGTATACACACACACACACACACACATATATATATATATATAGCCTAATAAGCGCTCATTAAAATCCCATAGATTAACATTTTAAAGCCACCACCAACGTAATCGTTAAGTGCATTTTTACGAGTTCACATACAACTTGCTCAGCGGCGAAAGAAAACGTCGTGGGACGCATGTTTCAAAAATTCGATGAGAGGTTAATCTGACACGAATAAAGAGAGATCAGACTCAGAACCAACGGCTTTACGTTTTTTCTGAGGCACAAGGGTAAAATACTCCCGGCTGCTGCTAAAATTTTCTTAATAGAAAACCCAACTGATTTGGCGCCCAATTACAGCTATTACTTAAAGTTTAACTTTCTTAGGTAGTGTATAGTAGTTTTATTTTATATTTGTTTATAGGTAGAGACATAATATAAACTATTATTTCTTTCATTTATTTGTTTTTAAATTTTAACGGCAAGAAGGTGCCGCTTGATGATAGAACTTGCATAATTAGGACAATCTCTAACTAATTATTGGCTAGATAAATTCGGGTGAAAGTTGTAGATTACGTTATTGCGGTTATTTTGTGGTTTATTTTGTTGTTTGCTGTTTAGAAAACTCGAACATATTTTTTTATTTTATTTAAATAAATTTTAATTTGCAAATTGTATGTGGTGTTATTACTCTGCATTGTCCGGATCCGGTCCGGTCCGGAGTAAAAGGATTGTTTTTGTCTTTGCCTATGCGCGTGTCAGTTAGAGATAATAAAACAACATAAAATTTGCAATTTTTTAAATATATGATTAAAAAAAATTGTAGTAGAGATTTTGGTAAAAAAAGTTATTACTATACGTTAGAATACTGATTCCGATAACGAACTTAACGGGAACGGGAAAGTGATTTTAAGACCGACCTCTTAATAAACTCTAACTGTTCCCAAAAACCTCGTACGATCATTGAGTCAGTTAATCTTCACATTCTTCCTCCAGAGGCAACGCATCATAATTTCGATTCAAATGACACTTTGATTCACCATCCACACACATGGTCGGTGTTCCGCAACAAGATTCTCGCGTCACGAACTAATTTATGTTGCATACAAGTTAATATCTCCCAAATATTTGCCTACTTTTCTTTTATTGTGCAACTTTTATAAAATAAATTTAAGTTTTGATCAATTAAAACCCACGACTGTCGATGATATGTCGTCCATCTTTAATAATGAAATAAATAGTCTGTATAATACCCACGCTCCTGCACGTAAAGTTTGACTTAAACCATCAACCTTCTGCTTGGATGACTGAGACAGTTCGGATGACGATGACAAGACAGAATAGGCATTTCAGCATTTTAATAGAGAGTATAAGAAAGAGACTTTGATATGTTTTAAGAAATCTTGGAACAGATGCAATCAGATGGTAAGAAATGCCGAACGCTGTTATGTCCAAAATAATATAGTTATTTTCACCAGCTGATGTCTGTTAGCTTCTTATGTCAATTGAAGTGGGTGGTGGGTGGGCGTGGGTGAGATGGAGCCTACTCTGAAGTGCGCCTCTTACTTGTCTTGTAATGACATTAATCTTAACTTTTCTTCTGCTCCTGTTATCAACACTACTGTACAATTTCGAACGATAGCCTATTTATCTTTTGTCCAATCACCCCAAATTCAATTTTCTCCAGCGCACCAACTAGTGCGTAAGTAGGATGTTTTTTTAATTTTAATAGCCTCACGAATTATCCTTGGTGGGCAGCGTGGTGGAGCCTTCCTTACCCTAAAACTTCATCAGAAGTGAGAGAAGACCTGTGCCCAGCAGTGGGACGTATAAAGACTGTAACTATAACTTTTAATTATTATAATGTATTATTTAATAATGAACTTATACTTTAATTTTAATAATAATAGAAATATAAACTTTTTTAACTAGTATATTTCTAGGTCTTCGCGACAGTTAAAAAAGCACAGCTTATTATTTATTATAAGGCTTTAAGAATTTTAAATTTATTATCTTATCAAATATTCTAACTCATAATTAAAACAAAAATTTCTTCCATCAATAAGAGAAAGTACAAATCGAATGTTAATTCGGCTTTATTATGACACAAAAGAACAAAAGAAAACAAAAGTAAAGAGGGGCTTTCAAGATTTATGTGAACAAAAAGATTATGTTAGCTACTTTGCAGTGCAGATTTAAGCTACAGAGATCACCCAAGCGTGAATGACACTTAGTTACCTTGCCAAGCAAACTGACGTGTCAAAGTCCCCGTACAAAGGCAGGTGGATCAAAGCGAGCGCGACCGAGCTCGTTCAATGTAGATCAAAAGTCTGAATACCTGGACCGTTTAATGTAAATAATTGAGATGAAAATAGATAACCACATTTTATATTTTGAAATTTCTATTAGTTACTTTGTCTCGTTAGTTTTATTAAAAAATGTCGAAAGACATTCGTTTGCATCATTTCGTTGAAGCCATGGTACCAATGATACCAAAGAAATTTTAAATTGCAATCTTCCCTGACGCAAAACCTTTTCGGAAAAGGTAACATAGAAAAATGAGAGGAGGCAAGAGTGAATAAGTTTTAATAAGTTAAGTCAGAGTGAACTATCATCTTCGGTTACATTACAGCTTACCATCAGATTTGATAGTATATAGTACATAGATAGTAGCCAAGAAGCTATCAACAGTTAAAAAGAAGACCTATGCCTCATATTACATTTATTAAGGAAATTTCTGCGTATTTTGTGTGTATTGTTGTTTTGTGTGATACACCCTACTATAAACGAAGGTCCAAATATCACAGTGGAATACATTTATAGCTGATGGAGACAAAACAAATAGAATACCTCCTAAGTTTTATAAAAATTATTTAATTATAATTTTGTATTATTAAATAATTATTATAGTTATGTATAATTGATTATAATACTGCTAATAATAGGGCCGTGGTTGGTTAACCAGATGGTTAGCGCTCGTTGTAAATTTCACAATACGCGAGCAACCCCTCGATTCCTGCCGGCACTAATGAAATTGTTAATTGCAATTTTAAGCGATGATTTACCACGTGCTCGGCGGTGAAGGAAGATATCGTGAGGAAACCTGCATGTCTGAGAAATAAGAAAAAAAAATATTTCGAAGACATGTGAAGTTCGCCGGACACATCCTTGCTCTAAAACCCTCTCAGAAATGAGGGGCGGCCTGTGCCCAGCAGTGTGACGTATATAGGCTGTAACTATAGCTTTTAATTATTATAATGTAATTAATATTTTTCACAGAATTTGATTGCCTAAGGTAGTTTATTTATTCATTTATATGTCGTAGAATGAGTAGAAAAGAAAAGTTTCAGTCTCTATGACTGTTGATTTAAAAAGAACTGAATTTATTGATAATGACAATTTAACTGATTTATTGCTTCACCAAATCAATCGTTTTTATTTTTAGTTGTCTATGAATTCTCATTAATCGTCTTCAAATCGTGAAAAATAGTTTTTGCTTTATTTATGTGTAACATCGCTAATTATTAGCAACCGTCAACATGTCATACGTTATGAATACATACATACTCGTAATGTAAAGGGAATTGATTTCTCGCATTGGTTTTTCGCATCGCACCCTTAGATTAATAACATAGATACATAGTAAAGCTTTTTTGACATATTTAATGATGACACTGCTAAACATAATATTTATTTAAATCGTGTATTGCTTTACATCTATCTTTTAATTTACTGTAAATGTTAAAGTTCATCACTAATCGAAAAGCGGGAATTAAATTATTCTGGATCCGTGACGTCATGACTTGACGCCAGAAATTCTCTATCGCTTACTATTAAGAGTAATCGCTATCATAATACTTTACGCAACTATTTGTAAGGGTCAGGGAAGCGTCGTTGACGTCATTCTATTATAACAAAGTAGGTACTACGACCTTGCTTAGCTCGTTTCGTAGGCTTAAGTACGGGCCAAATTACGTATACGCTCTCTGAATATTAAGGTAAATTTAACTTGTATTTATGGCTGAAAATATAAACTATTCAAGGAATATCTCTAGTAGAAGTATTCTTTTACATCAGTATATCAAAAATCGACTGTTGGACTTTACCATAAAATGCCGTAATTGCTACTTCATAGAATAAGGGTAACAACCGAACCCAATCCGCCTGATGATTAGTTGATTCTGCAGCTAATAAACACCTACATCTATCCTCGATTAAGAATCAAATGCAAGTGCTTTGAGACGACGATGGAGACTCTCAAAATGTCTCGTTGCCATTACAAAGATTTCCGGGTTTCTGTGGTCAGAAGTCTCAAAACTAGTAGATGCTGTTCACCGTAGTCATACCGATATGGGTATTTGACATTATCACCTACAAGATAGCTACATCATCATTTGAAAAGACTTTATTGTTATTTACTTATGACGAATATTGTAAGATCTACAGACAAGGTAAGCTTATTATCGTTTGAATAAGATAGTCTTAGGGTTTAGAATAGCTTTACTCAACCTGCGGCAATGCTAATATCACCCAGCAATTGCAGTCAATTTTATGTTTTGGGGTAAAATTATTATTTTATTTTCAAAATAATCATCATCATCATTACAGCCCTTCACAAGTCCACTGCTGAACATAGGCCTCCCCCAAGTAATGCCACAAAGCACGGTCCTGAGCCACCTGCATCCATCGACTTCCTGCATGTCTTACCAGGTCGTCACTCCATCTAGTGGGGGGTCGCCCTACACTACGCCTACCGGTACGAGGCTGCCACTCGAGAACCTTTCTTCCCCATCGGTTATCGGTTCTTCGAGCTATATGGCCGGCCCATTGCCACTTCAGCTTACTAATCCGTTGGGCTATGTCGGTCACTCTGGTTTTACTGCGGATATCCTCATTTCTGAGTCTATCACGCAGAGAAACTCCGAGCATAGCCCTCTCCATAGCTTGCTGAGCGACCTTAAGCGTCCTCATACGGCCAGCAGTGAAGGACCACGTCTCAGATCCGTAAGTCATCACTAGCAACACGCACTGGTTGTACAATCTAGTTTTTAGAGATTGAGGTATACCTGACGAAAAGATATGCCGTAATTTCCCGAACGCTGCCCAGCCGAGTTGAATCCGTCGATTGACCTCTCGGTCGAAGTTGGACTTACCTAGTCGGACTATTTGTCCCAGGTAAACGTATTCGTCAACAACTTCGAGCATAGTGCTCCCAACAACTACCGGCATAGGTGTGACATGGACATTGAACATGATCTTTGTTTTGTCCATGTTCATCTTAAGACCTATCCGTTGGGAGGCACTATTGAGCTCATTGAGCATAGTGCTTAAGTCCTCCAGCGATTCTGCCATAAGGACTATATCGTCGGCAAATCGAAGGTGAGTGATGTACTCGCCATTGATGTCAATACCGTATCCTTTCCAGTCCAGTAGCTTGAAAACGTCTTCCAATGCAGCGGTGAAGAGTTTCGGGGATATAACGTCACCCTGTCTTACACCTCTCTGCAGTTGGATAGGTTTCGAGCTCTGGTTCTGTACTCGGATAGCCATCGTAGCCCTACTGTACAAACACTTCAGCACTTCGATATACCGACAGTCAACTTGGCACCGCTGAAGGGACTGTAGCACCGCCCAAATTTCGACGGAATCAAAGGCTTTCTCATAGTCCACATACGCCAGGCAAAGTGGCAGATTGTACTCTTCAGTCTTCTGTACAATCTGCCGCAGGGTATGTATGTGGTCTATGGTACTGAAGCCTTTTCGGAAACCGGCTTGTTCGGGAGGCTGGAAGTCGTCAAGTCTGCGTGCGAGACGATTCGTAATGACTCTCGAAAACAGCACGTAGACGCGGCTCAGAAGGGAAATCGGTCTGTAGTTCTTTAAGAGAGCGTTGTCGCCTTTCTTAAAGAACAAGACCACCGCACTTCTGCTCCACGCCTCTGGAGTAGTGCCACCATGGAGGACGGAATTGAAGAGCTTCTGAAGGACTTCAAGTACCGGTGTTCCACCCGCTTTCAGAAGCTCCGCTGTAATTCCATCCTCGCCTGGGGCCCTGCCGTTTTTAAGGTGCTGGAGAGCCATTCTAATCTCGCTTAGACTGACGTCCGGGATATCATCGGAATAGTGTCGGATCAGACTTGCTCTTGGATCGTTACTCACACTTGCGTGTGGCTCCAACGATGATGTGTACAGCTGCCCATAGAACCTCTCAATCTCACTCAAAATCTCAGGTGTCCCGGAAACGATGTTGCCACACTCAGTCTTCAGCCTTGACAGTTGGCTCTTTCTGGCAGACAGATCTCTGGCAAGGACTTTGGAGCCCTGGTTCCGCTCGATCGCTTCTTTAATACGAGAAGTATTAAAGTTGCGTAAGTCTCGCCGTATGCATTTGGAGATCTGTCTGTTCAGTTGCCTGTATGCTGTCAAATCTGTTGACGATTGCAGCCTCATCTCCCGTCTAACAGCCATGAGATTAAGAGTGTGATCGGAGAGTTTTTGTGTTCTTCTGCGGCGGGTCTTACAGAACTTAGCTCCGACCGCATGGACAGTTTCCACGAGCTTGTCGTTCATATCGTCCACTGCATTGCAATCTTCTAGGCACTGGAAGCGGTTACGTAACTCGAGCTGAAAGGTTTCGAGATTCTGGATTAGAGCACGAGGGGGGACGGAGCGTTGACTTCATTAGACGAGACCTCTCCAACTTAACGTTTAGGTTCAGTGTGCCTCTAACCATTCGGTGATCGCTGCCAGTTTTCACTCTTGCGATCACTGAGACAATTCACTGATTCAAAATAATGTCAGAAAATAAATTGTTTCAAGATGAGTAAAAAGCTAAGAATTTATCATGAAGAAATATAGAACAAACAGCTGCAAAATTTTCAAACTATGATAAAAACTACAGAGGACGGTAACAACATTTCGGAAGAAAAGTGCTCCATAATTTCAAATTATATAACTGCACTTTTAAACGAATTTCGAAAAAGGTTCCAAGCTCTAAGAAAAAAAAGTTTGTTACTTATAGAAAATCTATGGCAGTTAGAAACATCGATTATTGTCAGTTTTTGTTGGCTTCAGTTTTAAATTGTAATTACTTAGAGTTGTTAGATGAATTCATCGATTTTAAAAACGACTCCAATCTAGAAGTTCTGTTTAAATAAAAAAGGACAAAAAGGGAATATGTGATATAAATTTTGTAGTATTGTTCCCCAAAAATATAAAATTCGTCCAAAGATGTGCCCAAATACTACTAACATTCTTCGGGTCTACGTATGTGTGGGAATCGCCTTTTTCAAAAATGAAATACTCAAAGAACGTGTACAGAAATAAACTTACGGATACTCACCTGAATGATGTAATAAGAACATCATGTAGCGACAAGCCAGATCTTGAAAAAGTGTTCACAGTATCAAAAGCCGCATTAAACATATACACATCTTTTTTTAAACTTCTTTTTTAATAAATAAAGTAAATACATCGTTAACTTGGAATTACGTTTTAATTAAGACCTAAATAATTTTTGCTTGCGGCCCTCGATACCACGACTGAAACGTGTTTGTGGCCCTTATAAAAAAAAGGTTGAGTATGGCTGGTTTAGAATTTATATTCGGTTCTTAGTACATTCGGTATTTCGTATTAACTGCGTGTTACGTACTACAACAACTTATTTACGTTATTTATTTTTGTCCCGTCATCGTTGTAAAAAAGTATTCGAATCCATTATGGTTTTATTGCTATAAACAGTAAAGCACAGTTTTTTTATAGAATGGGGGTGACAAACGCATGGTAAGTGGATACTGTGGCCCATAAACATTTACATTTATCTTCAATTAAGAATCAAAATGCAGATGTGTTGTCAAAAGGGTCACCGGAGACCCCGGTTCCCTATATTCACCATATGAACGAAACATAGCTGCATTATGCTATTATTTTACATTGGTATTCTGTGAGAGCGTGATCGATCCCTGGTCGAGCCGACCCAATCGTGTCTCTACCACGTAAAAAGTGGATGATAAGCCTATATTTCAAATTATGATTTATTAAGGTTAATGAAGCAGAAGAACAATAGAAAACGACTTCGCTTTTACCAATTATGATAAGTGCATTTTTACATTTCATATTTTCGCCAAATTGCCTTACCTGTTCGAATAAACATTTAAGTGAAAACTCTTCTTAGAAAAAGTACAATGAAATTTTTAGTACAAAGGAATCTCTGTAGAAATGGTAGGAAACATATCTAAAATTGGTAGCGTAGTTTCTAATTCTTTTTTATCAGTATTTGGTTGGGGCGCTACAGG